AAAGTCCAATGCTACAGAGAAAATTACTGCATAGGAACCTGGAATGTAAGATTTTTGAACCTTGGTAGGCTTGCCATATCCTGAGGTCAAACAGCAGGTGGCAAGAATACACATTGCCATCCTGGGCGTCAGTGAATTAAAATGTACAGGAATGGGTGAATTCAATTCAGACGATTATCATATCTACCATTGTGGCAAGAATCCCATAGAAGAAATGGAGTAGTCCTCATAGTCAACAAAAGAGTGGGAAAAGCTGTACTGGGATACAATCTCAAAAATGATAGAATGATTTCAATACGAATCCAAGGCAGACCTTTCAGCATCACAGTAATCCAAGTTTATGCAACACCCACCAATGCTCAAGAGGCTGAAATTGACCAATTCTATGAAGACTTACAACACCTTCTAGAACTGACACTAAAGAGAGACTTTCTTGTCATTATAGGGGACTGGAATGCTAAAGTAGGGAGTCAAGAGATAAAAGGAACAACTGTTAAGTTTGGCCTTGGAGTTCAAAACAAAGCAGGGCAAAGGCTAATGGAGTTTTCTCAAGAGAACAAGCTGATCATCACAAACACTAAAGAGCCTCCTTTAGTGAGGGTAGTCCAATGCTATTTAATGGAAAGTAACAAAGAGCTTCTTTGCAGCTCTGGTGATACCCGGACACAATCCCTAGGGAAAATCTAATAAGGAATGAAACAATTTCTCTCAAAGGGATTGGAACCAAATTAGTGATATTGCCAATAGCTAAAATTCTAATAAAATATAAGCGGTGGATGGGAAGTTGGAAAGTGGCCATATCCGACCCAATTCCTGTCCCATGCTTAAAAGGACTGGATCTATCTGAGCATGTGAAGAGTGTTTTAGTAACAACTTGCTCCCAGGGAGGGCAAAGTGAAGCCCCTGAGGAAAAATATGAAAACCCTGCTGAAATAACAGAAGGGAATGAAATAGCTGATCTAGTCACTATGAGGAATCCTCATAATCAGTCTTTCAGAAAAGAACAAAAAGGAGACTCTACCTTAAGTGAATGCTTTAGACAAGCTAAGGAAGGGCCCCTGACATCTGAAAATCCCGAAAGATACTGTGTGAAGGAAGACCTATTGTACAGAGAGGTCCTAGTGAATCCTATGAGGGGAGGGGAAAGCATACATACACTAGTGATTCCTTTCAAATATAGAGAAAGAATTATAGAAAAGGTGCACAAAGACATATTTGCAGCCCATCCAGGGATGTCATGAACTAAACAAAGGATTACTCAAAATTTCTATTGGCCTGGGATGGGAAAGCAGGTCAAGTTATATTGTCTAAACTGTGACACCTGCCAAAGACAAGGGACCAGGAATGACAAGATCAAGGCTAAGTTGTGTCCTTTGCCAGTCATCTCGACCCCATTTCAAAGACTAGGCCTAGACACGGTGGGACCCCTACTCAAAGTGACCAAGCGAGGGAATCGATTTATTCTATCCATAATCGATTATGCCACAAGGTATCCAGAAGTGGTACCATTGCAAAATATTGAAAAAGAGACTGTGGCAGATATGCTAATAAACTATATGTGTGACATGGGCTTCGCTTCTGAGATTATTACCAACTTGGGGACTTCGTTTACATCCAAACTAATGAAAAGATTGTGGCAAGTCTGCAGGATTACTCACATCATGTCATCCCCTTATCATCCCCAAACGAATGGGTTGGTTGAGACGTTTAATGAGACCCTAATGAAAATGATTCGTGCATACACAGCAGAGAAGCCAAATGACTAGGACCATAAATTGCAACCATTATTATATGCCTATAGATTTGTACCCCAGGAAAATACAGGATTTAGCCCTTTCAAACTGTTATTTGGATGGGAAGCTAGAGGACCCTTGATCTACTCCACCAAAACTGGGAGGAACATAGGGACGAGGATCCTGAATTAGTGGTTCAATACATAGATGCACTGATGAACTCCTTACAACAGTCTCTAGAGCTAGCAGCCAAAAATTTAAAGAGCAATCAAGTAAAGCAAAAACAGTGGTATGATAAAAAGGCAAGGGAAAGAGTATTTAATCCTGGAGATGAAGTGTTAATGTTAAAACCCATTAAAGGGAATAAACTGCAACTAGCATGGTTGGGTCCATTTAGAGTGATCGCTAAAATGAGTGACATAAACTATGTAATTCAGGAAGAGGGAGAGGAAGGCAGAAGGGTCGTACACATAAACATGATTAAACCATATTATAGAAAGAACAATTTTGTGTTGTATGCCATCAAAGAAATACCCAATGGAAAACCTGAAATGCAATACAGTGGACCCTCGACTTACAGACGGCTCGACTTACAGAATTTTCAAGTTACAGACTTCTCTGGCTGCAAAATTTAGGTTCGACTTGCAGCCTGAGAATCGACCTACAGACCAGAAAAAAACCAAAATGGTACAAAAATGGAACAAAAACAGCCAGTTACGGGATTAATCGATTTTCAATGCATTGTAAATCAATGAAGACTCGACCTACAGACTTTTCAACCTGCAGCCACCCTTCCAATACGGATTAATTCCGTAAGTAGAGGGTCCACTGTATTGGGAACGAAAGGGTAAACCTCAGTACAACCCTGAGGAAGTTAAAATTAGCCCTACTCTATCATCAGAGCAACAAGATGAAGCAAGAGTCTTGCTGCAAAAATACAAGCAAGTCTTCTCTAACAAGCCTGGTGTAGCTAAGGGGGTATTACATAAAATAGATACCGGGGATGCGGCTCCCATAGCTGTCACACCTTATAGGGCAATGGGGCCATATGTTGCCAAGGTTCGTAAGGAGCTAGATGAGATGCTAAAGGAAAAAAACATCTTTCCTTCTTCTAGCCCTTGGGCATCCCCAATAGTGCTGGTAGACAAGCCTGATGGAAGCATCTGCTTTTGTGTAGACTATCGAAAATTGAATCATGTCACTAAGACAGATGCTTACCCGATGCCTCGGTTAGATGATAGAGACTATAGGAAGATGTCAATTCATATCAAGTTTTGACCTGACAAAGGGGTTCTGGCAAGTAGATCTAGACCCCAAAGATCAAGAAAATACCGCTTTCTGTAGCCCTTTTGGTTTGTTCGAATTCCAGGTCTTAAGTATCAGATTACAAAATGCACCAGCAACCTTTCAGAGACTCATGGACCAAAACTTACAGGGGCTTAGAGACTTCACAGCGGCATACATAGATGACATAAGGATCTATAGTCAGACTTGGGAATAGCATATAATCCACTTTAAAATCGTATTACAGAGATTACAGGAGGCTGATTTAACAGCTAACGCAAGTAAATGTCATCTAAGAAATACATTATTTAGCTGAGGCTCTAATACTTTGGCCATCTCATGAGAAGAGAAGACTCCCTGGAAAAGACCCTGATGTTGGGAAAGTATGAGGGCTAGAGGAGAAGGGGACGACAGAGGATGAGATGGATGGACAGTGTCACCGAAGCTACCAGCATGAATTTGACCCAACTCTGGGAGGCAGTGGAAGATATGGCGTGCTCTGGTCCATGGGGCCACAAAGAGTCGGACACGACTTAATGACTAAACAACAACAACAAATCCTCTTGTGTAGCTATGCTGGCAGAGTGGGGATGACATCACTGGCAGTAGCAAACTGCCACTAACTAAAAATTCCCTGATTTTATTTCAGAT